TTATGCAGAGAAAGTGGGGGATGCTGGAGGAAAGCCTGGGCCATGGCTGAGGGCATTTGGGGCGGGGGCTCTGGGCAACATCACTTGTTAGGACTGGGAAGTATTTTTTGTATTTTAGCAATGAGGACCAGCATGTCTGTTGTCCTTTCTGAGAGTCTGTGCAGGTTAAATAGAGATGTCTCCTCTCTCAGGCATTCACCTTGAGGGAGAGTGGCGTGTGGGTTGGGCTCCTGGTATAGAGCATAACCTGCCAAAAGCCTCACTAACTGGGAGTTCTCAACTGTGAGGTATGTAAGTGCATGTCAGAATTTCTGGTGGGGCTGGCAGTCTTCTTCCATGTTGCTCCCAAAGGAGATAGATTCTGAATGGAGTTGAAGGTCACCGCTTTATGGCATTACCAAGGCGATCATTACCTTTTGATCACATTATTATAAAATGGTCTTTTGCTATCATACAGATGATGGACAACATCTTTACTGGGATGATTTTAGGAAAATTAGTGTAACTTCCCCTCCACCAACTGATGATGGATTGTCTTATATTCATTTTAATCAACACCTTTTGGATGTTTATTAAGGATGGTGCAAGGTGCAGATATCCAAGTTTACTTTGGTGTGTAAATGTTTCAATGACTGCATTCCTTCTAGGACTTAAGTGTAGCTTTGCATTGTTTGGGTATAAACCTGAGTCAATTCTGAGTCTGGTGCTAAGGATCCAGAGATGGTAGCAACAGACCCCACTGTCAAGAGCTTATAGTCAGCCAAGTAACAAGGTAGGTGGTGAATAGGCAATTTTAACAGAATGAGGTTTTGAATTTCAGGTATAGAACATGAAGGGGTATTCCAGGAGACTTCCTGCTGGAGAATGAGTCTTTTCCACAGCACAACCATACCTTCAACATCTGTCATGAAGAGTCCTCTGATAAGTAATTTAAAGGATGGCAGAATCAGCCCCTGGGATTTAGCGTTGGGGATTTCAGTGTTTTCGGATCTCCAGCAATTCCAGAGCCAACCATATCTGCCCCCACCATGCTGGTCTTCCAGAAGGCTGTTGTGGGCCTCTTGAAGGATGTGGTGAGGCCTCCAGCAGCCAACCTCAGAGTAAAGGTTTGGAGCAACTGTGAGTGTTCCCAGTTTTCATGCTGTTACAGCCTGGCACGGAAGGCAGGACCCAGAGCTGGTGCCTCATTGAGCTGCGTGAGTGTGGCCATTTGTTGGGTCATTCAGCCACTGTAATTGCTATTTTAAGTGTCACTTGCCTGGTGCTGCACTGGGGTATCTCGGCAGCTCCTGTGAGCATCTCCTATTGTGTCTTTGGCTGTCTTTGAGAGTAGGAATTCAGCTTTTTGTAGCTGCCATGTGCTTAAGGCCTCAGTAGGGTGGAAGGTGCCATCGTGGGAGCATTTGTGTTTAGGACTTTACCTCACTGCTTCGGGTGAGGTAAATGGCCATTTTTGGCCTCAGGAGTTACTTGTTTTCCCTGATTTGTTAAATAAATCCTATTATTGTTGTTCTCTGAATCTGAGTCGACTTGCAACTGTACACGCAGGTAAAGAACTCAGATGGTGACTGATAAACTCTATGGTCAGTGCCCTTGGTTGGTTTTAGTGCCCCTTGCTGACCTGTATCAAATCCACCACGTGGGCAGTTTTATTGCCTATTTGGCTCTGTGAGGATATAACTTTAAACCTAAGAAAGAACAGATGCAATTTTACAAGATTTGGTTTCCCTGTGAAGTTAGACCTGATCTGGTAAGACAGCAACGGAAACACCCCAAAATTCTCATTGCTGCTGTGAGTCAACTTTCTGGTGAACCAAAAATGAGGTGGCGATGGCCCTCACTGGGGAACTGTGTTGACAATGGAAACCCTAAAAATGTTCCCAGAAACTGGTTTCCTTTCCATGAGATAGCTTTCATTAAATTTCAAGAAAATGTTCCAAATGAAGTAATACTATTAGCGAATAAGAGCTTCAGGACCGAGAAAATTTTTGATGATTGCTCGTAAATGAATGGGAACAGTGGCACTGATCCAAGTGGCATAAAGTAAAAAAAAAAAAAAAATAGTTTCTGCTTGGCAGGGAGTCTCTTTCATGCTCTCATTTGTCCAGGCTGCACGGTCTGTTCTGGAAACCCATGCTGTCCTTTCCTGCCTTCACTACCTCTGCCCTCACTTCACTTCCTCTGAGCCTATTTAAAATCCATCCCCTCCTGTCACCTCCTCAGCTGGTGACATGCCTCAGCCCCAGGCGCTCACCCTCCAGAGAGTTCCTCCTCCTCTCCTGCTCCACAGCCTCACTAATCACCTCCCTCCTGCAGAATCCAAAAGCTCACCTCTAGCTCTGGTTCTTTCTCTTCCTTGGAAATGTCCTCATGCCAGTACCATTTTCCAATCGAAACGCACCCCCATTTCCTCTCCACTTTCAGTATGCTACTGTTCCCACAGGGTAATTATTTTCTAGCCATGTTTCTTCAAAGGTCCACTTTTTGGTATTTGTTTTTTTTTTATTTAAAGATTTATTTCTTTATGCATATAGAACTGGGGTGCAGGCCAAAGGTGCAGGGGCGGCAAGAGGATTCACCAGAGACAGAGTGGGGAGCAGAACAGGCTGACTTACGAAGTACACTGCTGAGGGGAGCAGCGGGCGGGTCAGGAGAGGTCTGCTGCACCATGTGGTCACCTCCTGGGCTGGGGATCGAACCCATGCTGCAGTGGCTTTAGCTTCTTAGTGCTGTTCTTTAACCCGCTGTGCTACCAGGGAGGGCCCTGGTATCTGTTTAAATTATTTTTTTGTTGCAAAATATCCTATACACAGATAAATAAATTGTCCCATGTAGCTTCATGAGCAATAATGAAACATACCAGTCATTGTAGAGAACATTGTAGAGAACTGTTTCTCCCCATGGCAACAGTCCTGCTCTGATGTCATCCCTATCCGAGTCTTCTTTTCCCCCAGCATGGTTAATGTGGAACATCATAAAGTTTGAGATAGAGTGCTGATTTGATGCATTTGTGTATTGTAAAACAACTACCCCCGTAGTAGAAACTACCCCTCCACCCTGCCTTATAGTTACTATTTCTTCTATGTGGTGTGAATATTAAGATATGCTCTCTTGGCCATATTTCAGTATGTGGTACAGCATTGTCCCTAAAACAACTAGGGTGCTCATCAGGACCCAAACTTGTTAATCTTATAACTGAAGCTTGTACCCTTAGACAATACATTCTCGGACTTAAAAAAAAAAACAAACAAAAAACCCTACCACTCATTTATCTCCAGATAGTACATTATTTAGTTTTTTTCTGTCTGAACTTTAGACCAGTGGACTCATACCTTTGCATTGCCCTGGAACTTGCTTCCTTCATTTGCTCCGTGTTTTTGTGATTCATCTTTGATGCAGGCGGTGGTGGCAGGTGGGTTCCTTGGGAAGCAGACTCACAGACAAGTTCATGTACAAGGTGCTTATTAAAGAGTGCCCTTCGAATTAATGCCTGTGGAAGTGAGGAAGGAAGCAAGATTAGGCATGGGGTGGAGTGGGGTGGGGTGGAGTGGTGAGCCTCCATGAGACCTAGAGCTCAGTGTTGTTGGGCAGGGATTTCCAGACTTTTCTACTCCTGTAACCAATCAGATGTTGGCCATGGGTACTTCCAGGAAGGAGCAAGACCTTGGGTGAAGTGACTTGTTGCAACTGAAACAATCTCTGGGGGATGTATGGCTGCTGCTAATCTGCATTCTCCATTGAAGGGAGACAAGGGTGGGGTATCACAGTGTCACCATGAGGTCACAGTGATTTTCCAGTGTTGGTTGACAGTACATGGAATGAATGACACTTGCTTTATTTATCCATTGTCCTGGTGATACTCAGCCTGGGCTGTCGCCTGCAGTTTGCTACCAGGAGCGATGCTGCCAGGAACACCCTTAGGCATGTCTGGTGCACATGTTTAAGGGTCTCTCAGAGTTTTGAGCCGGGGAGGGAAGTTTCAGGTCTATGGAAGATGTTTGTATCTGGCTTTGTGAGATAAAACCAAATAATTTTTCACAAGGGTCATGTTTATGACTCCACAGGGTATTTCTATTGTGCCACATCCTTATGGCCACTGCTCCAGGATGACAAGTTGAGGGTGTGGGATGGAATCTTTAATCTGTATTTCCTTGATGACTCATGAGACTGAGTATATTTCATATGTTTGTTGAATGCGTGGATTTCCTTATCTTTGCGGAGCTTTTGGATTTTTATGTCTTTTTTTTTTATAACCTACCACTCCCTCCTCCATTCTGCCTCAACAATTTTATGTCTTTTTTATAGTGTTGTCAGCTTAACCCTTCATGCCCCTTAATCTTATTACAGATCTGTTCATATGTATTGTTGTTTTATGTTTTTGTTTACATGTGCACATGAACAATGTGATCATGCACCTGTATCTAAGTTAATCTTTTCCTCTCTGTGCTGGTCTGGATCATTTCTTCAGAATATAATTTACTAATTCTCCCTCAGTGTCCAAGCTACAACTACATCTAAACACTGAGATTCTAAATTTTATTTCTTATCTTCTTTTTATCTAGAAGTTTACATTTGTTTCTTTTTCAAGTTCTTAGTCATTCATCCAACAATCCCTAATGTGCATGTACCTTATTCCTGCTTTCTGATTACCATCCGAGACTACTATTGCCTCCATTTTACAGGAGAACTCTATTATGTGTGTACATTTTGGCTGTTGTGTCAAAGCAATGCAGACTGGGGTCTGAGGTGGAAGTATTCTTATTCCTTCTGAGTTTGTCTCATTTTGCATGATGAAGCCCCATGAAAATTTAGGGAAAATCTGTTAATTACTTTTTACAGGTTTTTTAGAGTTTTCATATAACTCATAAGCAGTTAGGTGTTATTATATCTGCACCACAGACAAGAGCATTTGAAATATAAGACAGCAGTGCCAGTGATAACTTGCTAAAGGAAGAAACTTTATTGAATCCAAAGAACTGACAATAATTTCTGTAGGTAATCAAAGAAGTCATCCTATGTGTATATGACATACTTCCTGAAGAGTGGGAAGATGCTGTTATTGATCACCCAGACAGAGATTATGTTTCAGGAATAGAAAGACAACAGGACAGATATTTTTCTTAGGTTTGATCTTTTTTCCAGACTGATATATAATGCTTTCTCTTCTCAGAGAGTATTTGGCATATATTGCTCATGTCTTGAATTAGTTGCTTTGGGATTTCTCTTCCAGGGAGTGGAGCCTGGTGGTAAGAATCTTGCTGCGTTGGTCTACTTCTTCAAGAACTTTCTTAACCACTATGGCCTTGATGGGATCTAAATGTCAAAATTTAAAAGGAGATTTTTAGAGAGTTGAATCAAGACGAGAAAGGTCACAACAGCTTAAATCTATTGTGAAGCATTCTGTGTACCAATAAACAAATGAATAGATGAAATATGGCATGTACATACAATGGAACAGTATTCGGTCTTAAAAAGAATAGATGAAATATGGCATACACATTCAATGGAATATTATTCAGTCTTAAAAAGGAAGGAAATCTGTCATAGGCTACAACCTGGATGAATATGAAGACATTGTTACATACAATAAATCAAAAAAAGACAAATATTGTACAATCCCACTTATATGAGGTCACTGGAGTCATCAAATTCATAGGGAGAAATTAGAATGGTGGGTATCAGGGGTTGGGGGAAGAGAGAATGGGGAGTTACTGTTTAGCATGTGTAGAGTTCTAAATGGAACTTGCCCAACAGAAAAAGTTCTAAATGGAAAGTACTAAATGTCACTGAGTTGTAGCCTTAAAGTGGTAAATAAGGTATTTTACCATAAAAAATTGAAAAAAAAAAAGATTAATAAGAAACTACACCAATGAAAGGAATAAGAGGATTTTTATGTTGGATGAACAAACACTCTTTGGTGAATTTCTTAGTTAGCTAAAAACCCAGTGAACAGTTGCTTTGCTTGAATTTAGCACAACATCACTGAAATTTGATGCCTAGCACGCACTCATACACAAATCTTTGGTCTCTAGGAAGATCATGTCTGGGACTATAAAAGCAATCACACTATACAACGAAGAGACAGAAGAACAGCACAGACACAGGGTTTCATCTCAGGTACCTTTGATTTGATTCCCCACGTTTCCAGATCCATAATCTTTGGACTTGTAACCTGCAGACTTGCACGTCCTAGGAACACATGTTATTGAAACCATCATAAAAGAGGATGACTTAGAGAGAACCCCTTCAATTCTAGATCACGATTGCATTTTCTTTAGTTGTTTGCTGACAATATTTTCAGTGGCTTCCGTAGTTAACACTGCTCTGTGTTAGCATCATATCTCCTGCATGATACTTACTATTTCATGTTTGCATTCATGCTAATCAGTGCAGCCCTATCCATTGATGGGGGCTTTTCAGGGACCTAAACCTCAGGCAGATTTCAGGGTAATACCCACCCATCATCTCCACCGATGAGGTGGCAGTAGGTCTCGATTTCCTTCTCCAGGTGGACCTTGATGTCCAGCAGCTGCTCATACTCCAGCTTCTGGCCCTCGGTCTCGGTTCTGACCTGGTGCAGCTGCTCCTCCAGGGCCCCGATCTGGGCCTGGATCTGGGCGAGCTGAGTGCAGTAGTTGCCTTCTGTCTCGGTCAGGGAGCACTCCAGAGAGTGTTTCTGTTAGGCAACAAAGAACCTGAGATGCATATAAAGATGTACAGAAATCTGCTTTGCTATGTGGCTGTTGTGTTAACATCTGCCGTGGACGCTGGCATGTAGGCCAGGAGCCCATGCCACTGCGTCTGGACAAAACTGCTTGTATTTAATAAAATAATCAATGCTGCTGTTATAGCTCTTGTATATAAAATGCGATCCTTCCCTTAAGTTTAAAGTGATTGTGTACAAAATATATGGATATTTTCTCAACATCCTTAGGGGCTTTACAGACACAAGCACATGTGTAAAATGCTGACCTGGGAGACGCTAAGAATCTGTCATTCTCCTACCGTGGCTAAGAGAGACTGAAGTTCAATTTCGATGGTTTGGAGGGTGCGCTTCAGCTCGGTCAGCTCGTTCCTGGCTGAGGTCGTGGCACCCACATCCTCGGAGATCTGCTGCTGCAGCGAGGCACTCTGGGTAGAGGCAAGAGGCAAACCTTAGCGCCTGAACACCCCCAAGGGCCCCCGGGCTGTTGTGGCCAAGACGGCGACACTCGCCTTCTCGTTGAACCAGGCCTCGGCGTCCCTGCGGTTCTGCTCCGCCAGGTCCTCGTACTCCGCGCGCATGTTGTTGAGCAGGACGGTGAGGTCCACGCCAGGCGCCGCGTTCATCTCCACGTTCACGTTGCCGCCAGCCGCGCACTGCAGCACCTGCATTTCCTGGAGGCAGAAGAGTGTTCCCTCGAGCGTCAGAGAGCCTGACGCTCAGCCTGCGCTGGGCTCTAAGCGCTCAGCCGGCTGTAACTGCCAGGCTGTGCCGTGAGCCTTCCCCTATATTTTACAGTTTCTGTAGAGCGCACATGACTTTCAACTTCCAAATGCCTGCTCCCAAAACCCTAATGAATTGATTTTAATTTTGCAGCACAGACTAGCCTTAATTCCTCACAAAAGTCCTTAAACTATTTACAATATGTTGTCCATCATCTCTTACTCCAGTCATGTACAGCTGAAATAGCTCCACCGTGGTGGTTTTTATTCCATTTAAGAAATTTTGATGTATTCTGGACTCAGTTATTTCCTGAACACACATGAGCACGGTCCAAGGACTGCAGCTGGGTGATTCTGAACAATTAAAATAATATAAATATCAGTGTAGAGGCTAACTATTTATTTATAATTCATGAAGGAAGAACATCATCCTCTAAAGACGCCTAACTACTAAGCTACTAAGGTCACACAGGGACATTGTTTTGTGCCAGACACATTTCCGAGTGAATTCTGGTTTTGTCTTCTAGTGGCTGCATGAATTTGGAGAAATTGCTTAACTTCTTAAGTCCCAATTTTCTTATCTAAAATTGTGGATTAAAATATCTTTCTCTGGCCCTCCCTGGTGGCACAGCGGGTTAAAGCACAGCATTGAGAAGCTAAGGCCACTTCCGCATGAGTTCGATTCCCGCCTGCCCGGGAGGAGACCACATGGCCCGGCAGACCTCTCCTGACCCGCCCGCTGCTCCCCTCAGTAGTGTACTTCGTCCATCTGCCTGTTCTGCTCCCCACTCTGTCTCTGGTGAAGCGTCTCGCCGCCCCTGCACCTCTGGCCTGTATCCCAGCTCTGTATGCATAAATAAATAAATCTTTAAAAAAAATATCTTCCTCTGGGTTGTTGAAAGATGTGAATGAATTATTAGTAATAAGACCTAACACTACTGCTCTGCATAGAAATCTAGTCATCAGGGCTGTTATCTTCATAAAAATTGGAATCTAGTCTACACATTTTTCCATCCAAGCTGGTGCAGTTGGGATGCAGTGAGATGAGATTGTGGCTAGCAGACCTCACGCCTAAGACCATGTAAATGGAAGCCACACAGATCAACTTATGTCTCTACTGCAGAAGCCAGCTCCCAAGCCCTCTGTGCCCCAGGTTTTAGATTGGTCCTAAAGATAACTGAGGCTTTTCTTCCCTTCATAGTAGCTTTAAGTGCATGGCTTGACTGGAGAAATCATTTGGCTGTATACAAACATCAAACTCATTTTCAGAGGATAAAGGTTTTCTCAAAAATCACTGGCTCTGAAAAGGTTAGTGACTGTGTGATTTGACTTTGAAATTAGCTTCCAAAGGTGATCACTTTGGAAGTATACTATGTATTTGGAGAAGGAAGTCTTGGTATCACCATTTAATTTCAGTTTCATTATTTTTAGAGTCACATCTATTAAGACTATGCAGTAAGCGTGTATATGTCACAGGTGTATGAAGTTAATGTGTTTTAAATCTGTCATTGTTAGACAGAAATTAGATCTCATTTTCTCAAGATGTCCTTAAAGTCCATTTTATCTAATTAGATGCTATCTTTTAGATGTACCATTTAAACTTAGCCATAATTACTTGGCCAAACAATGTTCTCGTAACCCTGATTGGTCTAGAATACATGACTCTTTTTCTTTCCCATGGGAAACTTGCTAAAAGAGTAAGGGTGTCCTGTTCCTATACTTTGCCACTTGTGAAGACAACCCAGGCCTTATCCCCATCTGGTTTTTAGTGCCAATTTCTTTATTTCTTCCTTCCATCCTTCCTATGATATATTTTATTTAATCTAATTCACCACGAATATTATATCTCAACATACAATTGATGTAAAAAATATTAAGGAAAAATTTACATAATTATTTAGACTGAGTCTTCAAAATCCAGAATATACTTTATGCTTTTATCACCTCCAGAATGTACCTGACCTTTCTATCATATCTCAGCTCTGACTTGCCATTATTTTGGTGCCATTTAAGAAGTCAAGTCTGGCCCTCCCTGGTGGCACAGTAGGTTGGAGCACAGCACTGTGAAGCTGGCCACAGCTGCTTCCGTGAGTTCGATCTTGGGCCTCTGAGCTGACCCACACAGCACAGCAGACTTCTCCTGTCTTGCCCGCTGCTCCCTTCAGCAGTGTACTTTGTTAAGTCTGTTCTGCTCCCTACTTTGTCTCTGGTGAATCCTCTCACTGCCTTTGTACCTCTGTACTCCAGTTCTGTATGCATCAGTAAATAAAATCTTAAAAAAAAAAGTCAAGTCTGTCATCTCCTGTCAGCTGGAGAGTGTCTAATGGTACCATGTAGACAGTCAACTCTTACCTCTTTGTGGTTCTTTTTGAGGTAAGTCATCTCCTCGCTCAGGGTTTCATACTGAATCTCCAGGTCTGTCTTGCACAGGGTTATTTCATCCAGAACTCTGCGAAGCCCATTGACATCAGCTTCCACGCTCTGGTGAAGAGCCAGCTCATTTTCATACCTGAAAGAGTGTTAGCCATTTCAAATTTGCCACAAAGTTGGAGAAGTAGTCACCAGTCAGTTATCAAAAGCTAGAGTTCTAGAATTTTGTGGTGGCAGATTTGACCACCAGGCACATATTATAATAATTATTTTCTTTATTTTGAGATTTATTTTTTTGGACAGAAAAAGAACTAAGCTATCAGCCACTATTTGTATAAGTACTATTCATACTTTGTTATTTTATAGTCAAAGTATAAAAAAAGCGATGACAGTTTATCTGAATGGGTTACAGTTTTGGAATAGGATTTGATCATCTATGGAAGCATTAAAAAAATTCAGTTAATACTTCACATTAATTGCTGTGAAAGCTCTCCCCTGTGAGTTGACTTACTTGAGTCTGAAATCATCTGCGGTCAGCCTAGCGTTATCGATTTGCAGAACAGCATTAGCATTGCTGGTGGTGGAAGCAATGATCTAAAATGGGAAATTCAGCTTTTAAAAAAGCAATTTATCACAATCAATACAAACCAAAGTGTTTTTAGATGAGGAGATGAATAGAGTTACTAGACAGTGATGAGGGGGTAGCTGAGGTCAACCGACGGAATCTACTCATCGCTAATTTCCTGGGCTAAATTGAAATGCCCTTTAAGAAAGTACAAGCAGGAATGAGACCTATTTTTAATATTGGGGGAAGGAAGGAAAAGAACACTTAGAATAAAAGTCCATAGAACATAACCGTGAGGTATAATGTCTCACCTGATTCTTAAGATCCTCGATGATGGGGAAGTATCTGCTGTAGTCATGATCGAGCCCACGGCAGGAACCAGGGCCGAATTTCTCATACCAGCCCTTGATCTTCTGCTCCAGGTCGGCATTGGCCTCCTCCAGGGCGCGCACGTTGTCCAGGTAGGAGGCCAGGCGGTCGTTGAGGTTTTGCATGGTCACCTTCTCGTTGCCCGACAGGAGACCCCCCTCGTTCACAGCGAAGCTGGCGCATGAACTGTTTCCCCCGGCATTTCCTCCCAGCGAGCTACCTCCGAAGGCACAGGAAAAGCCGCTTCCAATCCCAGGCACACCGCAAGCATTCCCAGCCCCAAAACTGGCTCCCCCAGAAAGCCTGAGCGATCCTGTGGTGGGTCGGGTGCAGGTTCTCCTGGATCCGCTGGAAAGTCTGAGAGACATGGCGTCGAGCGAGGGTGTCGCTGAGCTGTGCGTGTGAGACCGAGCAGCGCCTTCTCGTCGCAACAGTTTGCTTTGCCTTTTTATAGACACTTCTCAAGTGTGTTCTGGAGGGAATTTTGCCTACATAGAGCAAAAGAGGGCTTGCCAGCCTCAGCAAGTTAGTGTAATTGGATGATTTTTTCTAATTAGTAACTAACTTTGCTGGGCTCATTCCGTAGGAGGACAGTTGCCCTGGGGTTGCTGGTTATCTGAGAGATGGGTCTGGGTGGAGCGCTGCTGGTTCCGATTGCATTCTCAAATTGCCTGTGAGTCACTCTTCACTTCCACCCTTGGAAGATAAAACTCATCAGTCCACCACACACAGTAAAAATCTGGCGTCATGGTTTTGGGCTAGCAGGCCAAGGCAGTTCAGATTTTTTTTTTTTTAAAAGATTTATTTTATTTTATTTTTAAGATTTATTTATTTATTCATACAGAACAGAGATGGGGTACAGGCCAGAGATGCAGAGGGTGAGAGGATTCACCAGGGACAGAGTGGGGAGCAGAACAGGCAGATTGTCGAAGTACATTGCTGAGGGGAGCAGCGGGCGGGTCAGGAGAGGTCTGCCACTCCATGTGGTCACCTCCGGGGCAGGCGGGGATCGAACTCATGTAGAATTGGCTTAAGCTTCTTAGTGCTGTGCTTTAACCCGCTGCGCCACAGGGAGGGCCCAGTTCAGATTTTTTTTGAGATCTATTCTGCTTTTGGGGCTCTGGGTCTCTTCAAGGGAGAACAGAACCACAACCATTGTTTCCCTGTCTCTTCATCACTGGTGCCCGCTCCCTGCGTGGCCACTGCTTGCAATGGGAAGTTGACTTCCTTTTTGGCTTACGTGCATTGTATTTTGTTGACACTTACTTATGTCTGGGGATAGTTGTCTTCTCTTATCCATTTTGGTAATGGGAACACACCCCCTAATTGCTGGTGTGTACTGGGGAAGTTGGGAAGGACATTAGCTTACTCCTGACCCTGCAAATTGTGAAGAAAGCCTGTTTCCACTTCATTTTCGCGTAACTTTGGTGAAAGTCACTAATAAACTATTTCCAAGGCCACACAGCACTTATATTTGTTTAATACCTTAAACATGATGGAAATTTTTGAGAAAGCTAGAAATTGGCTATGGATAAAATTTCCATGAGTATTTATTATGTGAGGCTTTGGTGGACATACTCATTCATTTTTCATCTTCTTCACAACTATTTACTGAACACGACCATGTGCCAGGCACTGTTATGAATATTTGGGATCTGGGGAGGGGTCAAATAAGGCCCGTGGACTCATTGAAGTTATTGTCTTGTGGCCCCATTGACCCAATGAACACAATATACCAGAGATAGAGTGATTTTCTTACAGTTACTAAGATGATATTTTCTCTTCCTTTCTCTCTTTTCCCCTCCTCTTTCCCTCTTGAATGTTTCAGTCAAAAAATCATTAAGTAGGTCTAAGCAGGTAGGATGGGAAGGGAATCTTTGTGTGTATGAGATTCAGCATCTGTGAGTGCTGGAGCGAGTGGGGACTGGCAATGGAAGATCAGTGACACATGAGGTATTGATCAAATAAGTATTACGTTAAAGAGAGTGAGAGCCAGGTTTCTCTCTCTCAGAGAAAGGATTTACAGATATAGAAAGAATAAATCCTATGTTGGATTGGAATTAGATTATTGGAGTCAAGTTATGGCTTTATATTTATGTGTAAGTATATACATATATGCACGTATTTGCACCTATATGTAAATATGATCATGTGGATCTATTCTATTATATATTTATATGTGTGTGTATTATATTCATTTATATATATGTGTGTGTGTGTATACATATATTTTATATATATATATATATATAAATGAATATAATGGCAGGAGTATGTTTTGTCTAGCCAGATATATCTGAATGAGGTTTGGAAGTTAACAATTAAAGATGCCCAGTACTTTTTTATTTTTGATTCGTCAACTCTTGGTGACAATCTTTTATTTTTATTTTAGGCAAATACTGACTTATTAGAAATGAGAATGGATCCTTAAACTTTTCAGCCTTCTTTTCAAAGTTTATGGTTGTTGGCTAAAAACAACCATAGTTTATGTTCAACATAACTCTGTCATATGTAGATACTTTCTCTGTTTAAGTTGAAAAGAATGGATACAGAAAAAAAGGAAGTGAGTCAGACTGGTTTTGGAAATAATGCAAAACTATTGAACAAAGATTCACTAGTACTGTGGGTCATCAGAGAAAGTATGATATTGTGGTGTAAGATGGCTGATTATCCAAGTATCTTGATAAACTGAGGTTGTGACTAGTCCTCCAATTCCAGCCTTTGATGCACCTACTATTCGGAATGAGATGGAAATGAAGCATACAGAAGGGAACTAGTGAGATAGTCACTGGGTGAACAGGTTTTGATCAATGTGGGCAGAGAAGGTTGGTGCTAGAGAGGAGCTGGAGCTGGGTAGTAGATGGAGAGGAAGTGGTCATGTCTTCACATAACAACGAGCTCTGCTCCTTCTGTCATGTTGATCATGCACACCATGGGTTGTGGTGTGAACATGGAATGTGGTTGGTGAAATTTCTGTTATGTGGATTTTTCTCCCTGTTGACTCTGGTTACCATGTTGGAGAAAGAGATCTGGACTGAAGCTTGGCCTACCATTCATCAGTTTTGTGGAACGTTGGGGAAAAGACTTCATTTCTTTGAATTTCTATGTCCTTCTATGTAATATAAAAATAATAAACACCCACTCCACCAGCCTTCATGGACATTAAGTTAATTCAGGGAAAGTGAGATAAAATATATTCAAAAGATAAGATACGGTCATAATGGTTTTGCTATGGAAGTATTATCCCAACTCAGTTTAACTCTTCACCATTGAAGTTATGTCTCCATCTGCATGTCTTGGGCCATTCATAAGAAGAAGATACTGAAAAAAGATAGCTGTCATCTGTGTTTACATTTCAAGAAACTGACTATGGGTTGAGTTCAAGTCCTTCCTGTGGGAATAGGAAACAACAGCAATCAAGACTATTTTGAGTTGGAAATGCAATCTCAGTAGACCAGGAAACCCAAGGTGGTTCAAGTTCAGTATTTATGGACCATATTATGGGCCGCTTTGAATTCCGCATAGCCTGTGCCCCAGTTAGCTCAAACCCTTTAGGAAGGCCCTTATATGCAAGCTGTAGATCTAGGCTACTGAAGACCTTCCCATAGCCCTTCACTCCAAATGAAATAAACCTGTTTAGCCTAGAACTTTGCTATTGTCTTGCCCCGGCTGCACTTTCCAAAAATAATCTGGTAAGGCCATTATGTAGGACCTTGTGTGCATGAGAGCATAAGGAAGTTTGGGAGCCACTCTGGGCTTGAGGGGTGCAGTTCTAAATTTGTTGTTACCTCCGTCGTCGGAGTAGAGAGATGTATGTATTACAAGTGGAAAGATAGCCATCCAGATTCAGATTCAACAACCTGACATTAGTTGATCACCCACGCCAGCTAGCCTTTAAAAGGGTGATCAACAGGTATAATTTTCTTTTCCTGGTGATCAACAGGTATAATTTTCTTTTGCATCCACAGAAGGCCAGTCCCAAAGAGATCTAGTCATTTGCAGAGTTAATCAGAGACATGTTTGGGACCAGAGATTAGGACCAATGTTTTTTTCCTGATTTAGCCTGTAATTAATTGAAGTACAGTGGCTGTGTAGTGAAGCACTTATTATTATTTTATTTTTACCATCTCCTCAGTTCTGTCCCACTGAGATCAATGGTGGAAATTCAAAAGCACAACATTTATCCAAAATAACTTGCAACAGAAAAAAATTTAATGAAATGGCTAAAAAGGACCCCAAAATACAAAAACTAGAGAGAGAAAAGACTGTCCTACTTCTGAGAAAGATACTACGCAAAGAACATGAGCTAAGGAAGAGGAGGAAAACAAACTCCAGCCCTTATATTTTGAAGATCAGAAATGAGTGATTTCTTTGGGTAACTGACCCATGGGATTTGCAGAGGCAGGCTGGTTTCTGAAAGTAACATCGCCTGCCCCTCAGTGTGGTGCTTTAGAAGGCAAGCGCTGTTCCATTGTAATGTTGCTTATTTTGGAGGATTTTTCTTCAACAGAGTGGACCCTCAGTGAAAGGACATTCCCAAGTTGATCTAGTTCTTCAACCACTGTTTTGACGAGGATTTCTTCTTTTGAGTCTAAAATAAAAGGAAAGGAAGTTTAGGACTCATTCTTAACCAGCTGAAAGGAGCATCTTGAAAAGATGGTGTTTGCAAGTTGGCAGTAAAATGAAATACCACAGTGTCTTTGAAATCTGCTTAGCAAGGTGCTGGGCAACCTTTTTTCTTTTTCAAGCCATGCGTGTTCAAAAGTATGAATAAAACATTAAAACTACATAACTATCAGGGAAGTATAGCCTGAGCAAGTAATATCGTCTTCTTTTAAACACCAACTTGTCCTGAAACTTTATTTAGAGACAGCTTAATTTTGTTTACAAAGAAGTGACTTTGTTTAATACAAGTGATGACTTTAAAAGAGTTACACCAAATAAAATATCTTCTCTACCTGTGACTTGATTTTCAGAACTCAGAGACCCACGTCCTTTTGATTTGTAGAAGGTAGATTTACCTTTTCTGTGGAGAGAAGGGTAAATTATTGTTTGTGTGTTTTTCACCTTTTATTAGAGAACTCATCAATAACGCTAAGTTGATAACAAAGGTTTTGTAGTTCCCATAAGACTCAATTCCTTTTTTGTCTAAGAGACCTCAGTGGCTTTCCATGTCTTCAATATAGAGAAAGTGGCGAGTCAGTGATGTTTGCCCTCAGCATCTCCCTTGTGTCCAGACACGATCTCTTTCACCTAGTTATCTGGGAACTCCAGGTCCTTATTCTGACTTTTCAGTCCATCAGCTGGCCAGTGAACATCCCTGGAGTGCCCACCCTATAGATGGCCTATGGGTAGAGATGTAGACTTA